ACTTGTATAACTATGCATGTGACAAATAAAGAACCTTGAACCTTGAAGAAATGTGTACCCCTGCTTTATGTGGCCCATTCATGCTGATCTGCATAGCTGCCCCCCAGTATGCCCATTTTAAAACAGGAAAAATCCACACTAAGGTATTTGAGGTTGCGACTGGCCTTCATTCTTATATTTTATAGAAAAGGAGATGAGAATTTAACATTAAAGTTTCCTAGTCCGAAACTAATAGAAGCTTTCTTTGTTTTAGGCAACATCTTTATTTCAAGAAAATCCATAGTGAGCTGTGAGGAATGTGACGAAGATGAAGGACTGACTCCTACTGTCATCTACAAAATCGGTACGCTCACTCCAAAGTTCTATAATATCTAGTTTGTCATTTTATTAAATGTCAGATAGCTCATTCTCACATTCACCTGCGTTCCCTCTCCAGGTGATCTTGGTCATGTGACAAGAGTGAACAATCCACAGGTTGAAGAGGGCGACAGCAGATACCTGGCTAATGAAGTTTTACAAGAGGTTTGTTTTCCTGCTTAAAAAACAAACCAAAAAAAAATGCTTGTACTTATTCTGCTGCACTTCCAACATAATTTTTGTTTTCTCTTTAGGACTACAGTAACCTGACAAAAGCAGACATCTTTGCTTTGGCCCTGACTGTTGTCAGCGCGTCAGGGGCCGAACCTCTACCCACCAATGGAGAGAAATGGCATGAGATCAGACGGGGCAAACTCCCTGCCATTCCTCAAGTGCTTTCTCCAGAGTTTCTCAGTCTTCTTAAGGTAACTGCAAAACACTTGTCTTTCCTTTTAGATCCTTTTAGAGTTTATAAGAATGGGTGTTATTATGTCTTAGCTTTTGTGCTAATCTGAGCCAAGCTGCATGTTCCCAATTACTTAAATGTATAAAGATAAACTGGAGGCCATTTCAAGTTTTTCAAGCAGCCCTTTTCAAGCACTTTCATTGGGTGCTTGAAAAGTTTAAAATTTTAGCTTTCATAGGACAGGAGAGAGCAGACAGGTCAGTAGGGAGTGAGTGAGAGGGAATTTCACATGAGATGGGCCGAGGTGGATTCAAACCCTGGCCTCTGGCATGAGTCATTGACAAACCAGATAAGCTATATTAGCCTTCCTGTGGAAAAGTTTCTTGAATGTTTTTATTTATTTTATTAACCAAACAACTGATCTAATAATTGAATTGTAGTTAATGTATTTCTTCTTCTTTTTTGTAAATCTAAGCAATGTCAACCTCAGCTTTTAGTTTTCTGGTGAATTTATTTATAGGTTTTTTTCTTTTGTTTTTTTCTTTTTTCCCCAGCTTATGATCCACCCTGATCCAACAAGGCGCCCATCAACCTCTGTCATCATCAAACACCCGGTACTTCTGACCACTGCCAAAATGAGTGCTGATCAGCTCCGAGTAGAGCTCAACGCAGAGAAGTTTAAGAACGCCCTGCTTCAAAAGTACGTACTGCACAGAAGCTTACCAAGTGTTTATTGTCTTCACTCATCAGTCTGAAAATTCCTAGTTTGTTTGAACAAGTTGTGTGATGGCAGAAAATAAGCCAGTTATGGAGTACCTATCCTGCACCAGTGTTAAAGGAGGGGGCTGGGAATCATTGCTCTGTCACTTTGAAAAATAAAAGTAGCAAACGCATTATAAGAAATGTGTATTCAGCAATTTGTTTGTATTCCTTAGTTAAAATAATAAACAGTGAGCATAGTGAGCTTGAGGGAGAAACCCAAGGATTGTGCTCAGTTATCTTAGCTCATTTGGTTACAGTTTTCAGCTAAGTCTAGGACTGTTCTTAGTGTGGTCTACCGTCTCCTACGTGTCTCATTTATTCCCTTTTTCTTTTAATGTTCTTCAGAGAGCTGAAGAAAGCCCAGCAGGCTAGAGCGGCAGCCGAGGAGAAAGTTTTATCCACGGACAGGATCTTAACCCGCTCCACAGTCCAGAACTCCAGAACCACCAGGCTTATTGGGAAAAAAATGAGCCGATCGGTCAGCCTCACAATCTACTGAGACTTTATTCCATCCTGATAAGAAGTGAAACACGAAGGCTTATGGACCTTTTAACCAGAACGGATCACTTAAAAAAAGAAAAAAAACAACAACAACAACTTTTTGTTTTGGAGGACAACCCTGTCAGTTGAGGAGTTGGGCTCCTCCGTCCAATCAAAGCTGTAGAGTGTTGATGCACCAGACTTGAACTCATCTCACTAGACTCTTTGCCAATATAGTTCAGTCCTTTCACCAGTGGACTTCTTTTTTTCTTTTTGAAAGGAAGGTAGTTGCTTTACCTTTTACACGTTGTCATTCTTTAGGTTTGCATAGATGTCAGACAGTTCTCTCCATTCCTGTCCTTGCACTTCTCTCGACTAAGTCGAAGCGCATTTCAGCAGATCAAAACTGCAGTGAAGCTTTCCCCCCCCAATGTGTGAATGTACTCAATGTAGCCGTGCGCACCTTACTGCCTGTCGCATGCCTGATGCTGGCTACTAGAGGACCTGAGAACTTACAGGTTCTGTGTTTGTAATGGAGCACTTTGGAGGTAACATGTGGCGCTTACCACATTGTTTCAAAAGAGAAAAAAAAAAAGAAAGAAAAGAAAATGAAAACCTGCTGCTATCAATGTTTTTGTGTGTCAGGGTTTGGTCGGTTTCAGGTTGGATCGTTAATTGTCACTGGCTCTTATTTTCAAGTAGCAGGAGCTCCTGTTTCCATCCTGTTTTGTATCTGGTTGGATGGAAATAGATCATGCTAAAAAAAAAATAAAAAAATTATCCAATGTCTGTGAAGTACCGCAACCAGTGAACCAACTTGTTATCTATGAGGTTAGAATTGATCCATGCTTTTAATCTTGCCTATTGATCAGTGCTGCCAACCCTGCCTGTAGCATTACTACAATCATCGTCCCGTTCTTACGATTCTCATGTGTTCTGTTGGTTTGTTCTTTCTTCTGTCTGTTTTTCATAACGCTTGTCTTCAATTACTGTTTAGGCGAGTATTCCTCAACCTTTTGTTCTTGTAACCCCATAACAGTAACTTTTCTGTTGTCTGTTCTGTTGTTGTACCATGTACATATGTTCTTTTTAATAAATTCTCACCAGCTACACTTCACCTTCTGTTCAGTGGCATTTTTATGAGAGAAAAACTTTCAGAAAGATTGAAAATTAATCTTTAAGCACAAATGATTATTTGTGTTTAACAAAAAATAGAAACAACATCCAGCATAGTGATATACCCATAAGTATATCAGCATTAGTATTTCTCACACCAAAGATGTTTGGGCAATAGAATGTGGCCCTTCTAAATCACATGAGTATTACAGGTCAGGTCATCTAGAATTAGTCACAAATTTGGAACAAATTTATTTTTCTGGAGTTTTAATCATAACTGTTTCATTTTTAAACCCAAGTAAAAATTCACTGTGTAAAAACAAAAAATTCATTATATAAATTTTTTTGCATAAAATAACATATAAACTCACTTGGTTCTAACTGAGATTTTCACAGAAGTTCAGATGAGGATATTAAATCTTTAGTGAAAACTTCACTACAGTTTAATCCAAAAATTGAGACCGTCACTTCACTTTGTAAAATATTTTCAGAATATTCAAATACTATTAGCCATCTAGATTTTAACACAAACATATTCTCAGTTACATTTTAGCGCCTTAATCAAGCAACATTTTTAAATACAGAAATTTTATATTGTAATCTTTAATTTCCCATTTTTAAGTTGTCAGAAAACCGCTGAAAAATAAAGAGATAAAAGGCTTACATGACACCACAGATAAATGAATGTCATTAAATATTAGAGAAAGGCATGTGTACACGATCTCTGCACTGATGTCAATCAATCAACAGGTGAACTTAACAACACACCTTTGTATGCATCTACAAAACATCTATATACACATGCAAGTTTTTATCAAAATGAATGCCTAAAATACTATTATTTATTATTTATTTACATATAATTGGCATACTACTACTAATAATAATATTTTTGTGATTTATAAAAGTTTAGTAATTTTGAGCTGGCAGTTTAGGTTTTCCATATATTTATATGTTAACGACTTTCTCTTTTTTAGCAAGGTAGTTTCAAACACCTATTATGTGTCATTTTTTACATAAAAAATAAATAATGTTTTTTTACCCACAAAGTCTTCACATACTCTCCGCACAGAGCGTCAGTGACACACACTCGTGCCTGATGTGTGTGCGCTCCTCTCGCTGAGCGGTGCTGCAGTTCTTCATCACGATGCCAAGCACGCAGCAGCTGACGGCGGGTCACGTGACCTTTCCCCGTCGTGTCCAACAGCAGAAGAGAGACAGTTCACACAGCAAGAGAGTAAGAGTGACACGCACGCAGCCGGAGAGGAGAGAAGTAAGAGGAAAAAAGTACAGGAGAAGAAGACGACGTATATTCCACCGAGATGGCCTTGCGGGATGAACTTTTAAAGTCCATTTGGCACGCCTTCACAGCGCTGGATGTGGACAAAAGCGGGAAAGTCTCTAAATCTCAGCTGAAGGTAAGCTGCTTTCCTTGATGGTTTTGAGTTTCTTTTGGCCGCTGGAGGTTTTAACTTTTAGGATCTTTGGCTTTTTCCGCAATAGTGAACCCGTTTCTTCCTATTCTGATTTGCGTGGGAAAAAAAAACAAACGCACACACTTCTGTTAGGCAGCATCAGCTGAGACGCACCTGTTGACAGTTCGCACATCGATTAAAGGAGAATCCCACACTAAAAACCACCACAGAACAAGTAGAGCCAACAGATGTTTGAAAAGGAGGCGTTAACGCAGATGAAAGTAAAGTTATTCAAAAGATCTGCACACACCTCTCATCACTGGAAGAAGCCACTTTAAAACACAGCCAAGTAGAAGATATTTTTATACGAGTACAAATTTCCTGGAGATACCTCCGTGTATGTAAACAACACGCACTCACACTCCTGTGCCAGCCAAACATTGTTCAGGAACGGATGGAAAAAAACAAAAACACTTTTCACTTCAGGAGCATCAAACCAAAGTGAAAATGGTCGCTGCTACTCTGGGGTAAGTGCAAAGAGAAAGGGCATGGGACGGCATAGGCCCTTCCTGGGTTCCCACCCTCTATTGCCAATGTACCGGCCATCCATCTTGTTCTCCTTATCCATTCAGGGTCGGGTTCTAACCCAGTTCTCATAGGGTGAGGGGCAGGGTACACCCTGGACAGTGCCAGTCTGTCACAGGGCTAACACAGACAGACACCTATTCAATCCTGCAGTCAATGTGGAATCGCCAGTGAACCCAACCCAACGTACATGGAGAGAACCCAGGCAAACGCAGGGAGAACATGCAGACTCCACACAGAAAGCCTCCAGCCGGTGGATTCAAACCCAGAATCATCTTGCTGTGAGGTGCCAACCACTACACTACTTTGCTGCACCCAGCAGATTATAGTCTTTGGTTATCTAACAATGCCAAACACCAATGGATGAGAGCATGAATAGGAACAATGGCTGAATGTAGCTCAAGTACTTGTTGTTGTCGTTTAAGTATTTCTATTTAATAAGTGGAGCTGAAGGTTATATGGTGGGTTTTAACATTGCAAAACCAAGGGTGTAAACTTTTTAGTCATCACCATTCACTACAACTGGTAGTTTATCTTTGCTGGAATAGAAAATATTGTTTGACAGAGCTCAGTTGACTGACTAATACTCCGAACAATAAAATTGCGCAGTGAAGATCTAAGAAGGAGAACAGTAGATTTACACAAGCTGGGAAGGTCTTTTTGGAGCCATTTCTAAACAACTGCAGATTCCAAGATCATCCCTTCAAACAACTCCACCCAAGTACAAGTTATTCTGCCTACAGTGAAGTGACTTTTACATCTTCACTGACTAAGAGGGTGCTGACCAAGACTACTTCAAACTGAAATTTGCAGCTGTCCACACGGACAAGCCAAATGCCTCCTGGAGAAAGGTTTTATATGAGACATGACGAATACTGAGGTGTCTGGTCACAATCACAAGAAGTATGTTTGGAGGAGTAAAGGTGACTCTGTCAAAACTAAGAACAGGGACATAAATGTCAAGCAAGGGCTGTTGTGCTGCCAGTGATACTGGTACATTGCACAAAGTGGATGAAATGATGACGGAGGGCTACCTTCATATTCTTCAACTTCACCTCAAATCAACAGTAGATGGTTGAAACTTGGAGACAGTTGGATGTTCCAACAGGACAGTGATCCCAAATGCACATCAGAACTACCTACATA